TTTTGTTGTCACCAACTATTATCTTTCTTTCCAAGAAGATAACATTATTTATCCTGTCGTGTTAAGTCTCTCACACTGCACACACTGTAATAAATACACTGCTTCTGATTGTGTAGGCTAGATATGACTGTCCCCAAGACAATGGTTCTTTTTCATTCAATAAAATCAGTACAGTAAATAACTTTTCTTCCCTTCGAGATGATCACAGTGCTTGAGGCTGCTGCAACACAAAAACAAAATATCTTCAGTGTCTCAAAACAGTCAAGCTGAAAATCTAAACCAAAGTTTCATTTAACAGCCTGTCAGTTTTTTGATGTGAAGCTAATGAACACAGCGGCAAACAAATCCATCAAACCTAACATCAAAACAACTGCACTTCATCCCACCAAACGGAAAAATGAAATACAACCTGCGGGCCAGCTCTTTGATCCAACCTAGCCAGGAAGCAGGCTTGTGAGTGCCCCTGCAGCAGCTGCACAGAAGTAATCAGGGATAGACTTCAGCACAGAAGGAAAGAATGCTCCAGAAACAGAAAACAGTCATCTCAAGCGTGCACAAATGTCTTATTTCAATTGCCAAGCTATGTATTACATATTCTTAAATATCAAGGGGAAAAAAAAGAGCATTTCACTGTAGATTACTCTGATACTCAAAGCTACAAAGATTCTTAAAATAAATAACTCATGGTATCTTCCACTACTACTACAGCTTTGCAAAAAGAGGTTTATTAAAAGCCCTCTGTTCCTTATCAAAGCTCTTTGAAGACAAAGACACATCTTCCCTCTTTGTGCAAACAAGCACGATGCAGAGGAGGACCTCACTGAACACTCACCACCCCTCAATATGCCAGGGTCAGCAAGCAAAGGCACACACTGCTACTTGGAACATTATCCTCAGTTTTTTTCAGTGATAACCTTACTTCTGATTAATGAAATGGGGGAAACTACATAACCACCTGCTAAACGCAAGGCCCTTTTGTTCTGGAGAATCTCCCAACATTTGACTGTGCTCTATTTTACAGGTCAAGGGAAACAAGAGCCGAATGCCCCTCATTGAGGAGAAGAAATGGAAAGAGAGAAACAAGAAGAATGGTAAGTGCTTGGGCATTAGCAGGGATTTTTAGGAAAAGGGACAATCCAATGAAGCAGCTATCAAGGCCAAAAAGTAATTTCCCCTCCCTACACAAAAACAGTCTGTGTGAGAGATGAAGCAGCTTGGATGGGTTCTCTGGAAAAGGACCACTGAAGGACTAAAAATCAGGGAATTTGCCCACAGGTACTGAAATATCCACAAAATACAGTAATTTAGTTGAGAATACCAAATCTCCAGAATCTGCTGAAATTCAGAAGTGCATTTGGGCTTTACACAAATAACGGAATGTGATTTCTAATCAGTCATAGACAGACTTTAAGAAATGGGAAGGATTCCTGAACAACCACCACATATCAATAGGCCAGTTAACAGAGCCAAATGAAACCCACAGAATCCCCCTCTCCAGTCCTACTCCAGGGACACCACCAGAAGTCATATACCACCACAAGAAGTCAAGTAGCCAAGGACAAAGGAAACAGCCCTTGAACGCTTGCCAGCACCAACTCTGCTCTCACCTCTGTTTTCATGGAACAGGTTATCGTCCATGTAATAAATGCATGGGAACATACATGGTGCCTGGCACATAGCAGACAAGGATAGCCTTAATAAATGAATATACGTCCCCATCTACTAGCCACTTAATGGGTCTGAATAGGCCCGTACTGTTTTACTACCTTATAATCAAAGATTTCCTATCAGGGAACATGGGGTTATCTTTTCTTCTGTTGGTTTGTTTTTTAAATAAAAAACAGCATTTTGTAGCAGCTCTTTTCTGAGTCACTAAATTAGAAATATTGGTTTGTAATATATGAATTATATATATTTTATTTTGTGTATATGAATGAGCTACACGTATGCACTTAAAATGTGTGCAGACACCACACTCTACATATTAATTAATGCAATACCACAAACAGATACTTATTAGGTGCTTTTACACACTCAGATCAACCCCATGTGATAAAGGTGGCATTCTCCCCCACCTTCAGTGCCTCAACTATGAAAAGGTGCCATTATTTTACAATAATTATGAAAAGCATAACTCATCATCACTTGTAAATTATGACTATATAGTTACCATTCAGAATAAACTGAAGGTGGCAAAGAATTAAGACAAACTAACAAAATGGTCATCCTCAAAACTAAAAGTCTTTTTAGTGCAATTCGTAATTAATCTACTACACATTACATTAGTCCCCAGCAAAACACATAAAGTTATGCTCAATGCACAAATTTTACAGGGATTAAAAACTATACACATACAACACAGTAAATTCATAAGGTTATCTAAAGAATCGGACTTGGAGATCAAACATACGTGTCAAATAGTTGATAAAAAATACCAAAATGCCATCGTTACAGCATACTATAATGTAAAAAAAAAAACTTATTAACTGAGAATAGCCAAGAAAATATTAATACTGAGAGTATAATTTAAGAAGGCATAGGATGTTTAAGTGAAACATTTAAAACTACCTGTTACAAGTTTACTTTCCTGTCTTTATGCAGAATAACAAAAATTTATAATATATTGCCACGTCAATTCTTAATCAGTACTTCTATGGTAGGCAGATGCTTCCCCCTCCTCCGCCCAACAAAGAAGTCTTCACCCTAATCCCTGAAATCTGTGAATATATTATTTTACATGAGAAACGGGATTTTGTGGATTGCTTGCTCTGAAATGTAGTAGACTACACACAAGGACTGGAGAGAGGCTTCTAGCAGCAAAGCTTAGCCAGCAGCTGACACTCAGGAAACTAGTTGTATGACCTTAGTCCTACAACCGTAAGCCAGTGGATTCAGCCAACGAACTGAATGAGCAAGGACATGGACTATTCCCCAGAGTCTCCCCTGAAGCTCCTTGATTTTTGACTGGTGAGACCAATGCTGGACCTATAATCTACAGAACTGTGAGATGATAAATAAACATTGCCTTAAACCACCAAGTTTGTGATAATTTGCTACAGCAGAAACAGAAAACTAGAACACTCTCAGAGCAGCACCACCTAGCCAAAAGGAAGGGAGGGGTGGAGACAATATCAAAAAAAAAATGTCTCAAACATATGCAATTAGGACAATTTTAAATTAGCTGTCCAAATCTGCATTATAACATTAAATTTTGTATACTATATTGTATATTGTAAATTACCCAGAACCAAAAAAGATAGCTATACTCCTTACTAAAATAAGAGGATATTCACATACCTCAGATCTTTTCCCCAAGTAACAAATCTATAGGGTAGAGAGGTATATCTAATTTATATATGAAAAATAAACAACTTTATATTATATGGCTGGCCAGAGTAGCTGGGCCTCAGAGCCCTGCCTTCTCCACCACAATTCTTAACAATCCCACAGCTGCGATAGGATCCGCCGGCTGTGATGTCAGGGAGGACTGACCACTATAGACCTCTCATCCTTGGCACTCCACTCCTACTGTACATCCACATGGAAATGTGGAAATACAACCTCAACTCACGCTGTTTCAGCTTCTCGCTGAGGCTGAAATGTCCTGTTTTGGCCAAAAACATGAACAAGCTCTGAAATCTATACTAAACAAGCACCAAGCAATTTTTCTGGTGACTCTGAATAGCTGTGATAGCTGACCAATTATGTCAATGATTAAAAGTGCAAACCACAAAATAACAGATCTTGTTATAACCTCGTAGCTATGACACTTTCAATGCAGATGCAAGCATTACATTTCCACAAAAGCACTACAGTGGCTGACCAAGATACAAACACTGATTTTTCTACTTATTAGGTTTATTATAATACAAAGGATGCATAATGGGAAGAAGCAGTTCAGTTCTGTTCCTTTCTAAATTAGCCCTCATAAGTAGAAATTACTCAGAACAGGAAAAGTTTTCGAATAGCAAGGGCTTTCTTTCACATCAAGAATTCATTCAAATGCACCCTGCACAGTCAAAGGCTATACTTTTATTTATATTTTAATAAACTGTGCAATTTTATAAAAACACATGTAAATTAAACCTAGAATTGTGTCCCTGTATATATTTCTATCCATGTTCACCAATGTTTCCATATGCAAGTTTTATCAACGTAAAATGAATAATATTCAGTTGTCACACACAGTGGGCCAAGATGAGACCACATAAACTAAATGTATGTCAACTTTATATACTCTGTAAAAAACAGAGTTTCATTCAGAAGCTGCCCTCTGCCAGCCTGCACCTTTGCCTTAAAAGCCACAGGAAAGAAAGCAAACCTAATACAAACCACCATCATTTCGAAGATGTCCTCTATTTAACGCCACAGGAGGGAAAGTAGGTAAATTTAACAGAAGCTGTTGCTTGTGAATGAAAACACACAGTGTGTGAACTAAATTAAATATACTGGGCAGAAGATGCAAAATTTCATATCAAATTTAAAATGAAAATATATCTCTTGCTAAATTATGTTCTACCATTATTACTTTCAAGAAATTCATTTCTGCACTAAGGTCAGTTTTAATCATTTCTTCTTACCATCATCCCTCAACCTTATGTTGTTACAATTTTACCAGACGTTCCCTTCTGTAAATTGTTTTCAAAGCCATGGACTGAACTCTAACAGGAAGACATCCAAGTGCACCTAACATGCAGCCACTGGAAAATCTTGCAAAATAACAAGTGGTGGCCTTAAGAGAGAAAGCAAACATCCATTGCATGAAATTACCTATCAGGGTAAATTGTTCCACATTAATTTCAAAACAGAAAAATGCAGCTACAAGAGGCAATATAGCCTATGTAAAATAAATGTATCTAACCTGAAATAAATTCCTCTGGTGAGAGGAAAACAGCATTACTGAGGAAAAAATAAATAAATGAATGCTACACATGGTCTTAGGTTTCTCAATAACAGAATACACATTTAATTTACGCTTTATTTTTTGAGGCATAACTTACCAATTTAGCAACTTTTCCATAGTCAATCCATCTGACAGTTGCAAAATTTGTAGATTCTGCACAGTTGAAACCATGATTAAAACCAGCATGGTAGCCATATGGGAAAGTGATCATAAATTCTCCAGCCTCCTGGGTGATCTGCAAAGTAGGAAACATATAATATTTTCCAGTAATAAGACTTCCCAAATTGTGAATGCAATTAAAATATATTTCCAATAAAAAAAAGAAAGAAAACATGCCATGATATCAGAGCTACAGCAAAAACAAGTTCCCCTAGATTCTTTACTTAATTCTTTAATAGTGTTTTTTCAGAAAACATTTTTTTGAGGGGACAGAGGGATGCAGCTGGCTGCTACAGGGATCTGAGGATCTGAACTCTTAGACTTTGGAGTTATTAGCACCATGCTCTACTAAGTGGGCTAACCAGCCAGCACCTTTTTACAGGAAACTTTAAAAAGACTTTTTTGAATAGGATATAACTTTTTGGCACTTTAGTTCAATCATTCACTCCATAATCAAAGATATTATATTTTATTTGAAGATGACTCCAAATAAAATTGTTCATATTAGTTAACAAAGTGTATATTTTAATACTTTAATAACTTGCATTGTTGAAGATAATATATAAAAGATATATCACAACTGACATTTTTGAAGTCAGAGTACAAAAACATTGACAACGCATGCTGGACAGGATATATTATGAATTCTTGTTGGTAAAGAGCTGGTATTCACCAAATTATTCTTTCATATTATTTACAAAATATTCAATTAACTATATTCCCTTTAATAGTAACACTTCTAATACAAAAAAATTGTTCAAATATACGTATGTATCTGTGTGTGAGAGTGTATTTTTACATATAATTAAAATAACTTGAGTAAATAAGTCAGGAATAAGCAAAAAATATATTTATACCATTCCCATTTTTTGGATTAAAGAAAAAAAATTTTTTATAATTACCAAAACAATGCAAAATATGTCATGCGTTATAGAAAAAAAGTAAAGCAACTTTTTAGTGTTCATTCTTAAAATTTATCTATTCAATGCTAGATTATAAAATTTACTGCTCACTCTTTAAAATGGACTAACATAATCTTTGTTCTACATTACCTGACCTTACAATGTTTCCAACCTAGCACCCAATAGGGTGGACCCCTTTGCATCTCTAAATTCTTTAAGTTGGTGCAAAGTAACATAAACAATACTCATAGGACACAGGAACTGAAGCGAAGTTTCTCCTTGATAAATATTTCTAAAGTATTTAATAAATGCTATTTGTTCACATTCAGAGCCTGTGTTCTCTACTAGTTTTGATAATAAAATAAAACTTTAAAACCACACTTTTAATTATCACACCAACTCAAGAAGTATTTATTTACTTCACTGATATATAATTTACATACAGTAAAATGCTCAGATAATAAATGTACAGCTTGATAAGTTGGCAAATTCACACATCCATGTAACCCATACCCCTATCACTTCCATCACCCAAAAAAGCTCTCTCATGCCCCATGTCCCAGGCAGTGCCCAGCCTGTCCCCTACTCCCACCCCATTAAAAACCTTTGTCTGATTCCCTTCACCATTGATTAGTGTTGCCTGTCCTAGGACTTCCCATAAAAGAAATCATACAATTTATTTTTGCTCAACATGTTTTTAAGATGCATTCGCTCTGCTGCATGTAATCAGTCGCTTGTTCCTCTTTACTGATATTCCATTCTATGAATATACCGTATTTTGTTTATCCATTCTCCTGTTAATAAACATTTGAATTGCCAAGCTTTTGCTTTACAGAAGTAAAACTATACTTGAGCTCAATAAATCTCTGGCACATAACTGATGATTATGAATTTCCCTAAAATCTAACACAGCATGAGTATAGTTCTCAGAAGGAAGTAAAAGGGAGAAAGAATTAGGATGAAACATCCCCCATGTGCTGTTATCTGACCCAGAAATCTGACGTGATCTCTCTCTCTGCTGACTGACCATACTAATGGATTTGTATATTTCTTATGGAGAAATATAAATTATTACCATCCGTATTCTCTGCTTCTCTATCACCTCTCCCCCACAACCTCTCCCCCAATTATAAGTACTTTGAAATCAAAGACTATATTTTTTTTATCATTAAGTCCCCCACCATAGTACATACTCTATATATTCTTGTTGGCCTGACTATGAATGTTCTTAAGAATGTATTCATGAATACTTAAAGAATTTCACCATCAGAATAGATATGAAATATATGCAGGGATGTCCTAGCCCAGCAGACTGTCACAGGGCAGGAAAAAATACAAAGGAACAATATAGACAAAATAATATTTAATGGTGCCAAGAACAGCAAGGTGCAGGGTTCAATCCCTGTACTGGCCAGCCACCAAAAGGGGGGGGGGGGGGGGAAATTTTTGGGGG